ACAGGGAAGGATCAATCTGAGGGCTCACTCCACAAATCAGGGTTAAGAGGCTTTTTTTTGGAGGCACTGCAAATCCAACCTGGCTGGTTTTGAGAACTCATTGTGCAACTACTTTGTGTTTAGATGCTGTGAGGAAGGACAAGAGGGAACAGAGGTGGGTTGACCTCTTCAAGCTAGCTGCCCTTGAAGCCATGAACCCCCAGGAGAAGCTGGAAGCACAACTGGGGGAACTCAGGCAGAGAAGCTGCTGGAGTGTGCCTTGCCATAGATTTGCAGTCTAATGCCATTTACAGGGCTACATTCAGACTGTTGGAGAGATCACTGATGGAATCTTTTCATCTCAGTGGAAAAAGTTTTGGTTTTGCTAAGTATAAGAAAAAAATCTTGTGTTTAAAGGGACTTCTAAACCATCCTTTCTGGTCTGGCCCTTCTGTACTTGGCCCAGCCCTGGGATTCTCCCTCTCCTGCTGTGGGGCTAAACAGCCCAGAGTTAGAGCTTGCTGGCTGCACCCTAGAGTTTGTGTCTTTACTGTTCACCATAGATCTTGGCTACCCTACAAAATCAGAACTACCCATGAGGTGAATTATTCACTTCCACAGCACAATAGAAACCATGCTGATTTGATTCACTGTTTTCTATTTTTTCTGTTGATCTTTGAGGAGTCCCAAGAGTATGCTCCCATGAAAGGCCATACAGAACTTTGTATTCAGTTTAACAATATTATTTACTAAGGGTCTTCTTGCTTCCTGTCCCCTTGCCAAGTTGTTGCAGGCATGAAGAACTAAATTTAATTTTTATGATTAATAGAGCACACAGAAGATATATATTGCACAGCTCTCTCCCTGTCTTATTTGGGGTGCCAAAAATTGCAGTGCACTCTCTGAGAACAGCTAAGAAGTGGGAGAGCTCCCCTCTGACAGATCTTAGCTGTTAAAAGGCAAAAAGAACACAGATGGTTGAAACCAGAGTTATTTGTAAAACAAGCAACCAGTTTTCACCTGCATATCTGAGCAGATATATTTGTTGCAGGTACCAGTAAAAAATTAGGGCCTAAAAATGCTTCTGAGAGAAACATGTTTTCAGGTGTTGCAGCCACTGAGAAGCAATACCGAATGAGATACTCAGGGCTCACACTATCCAGGGAGAGCTGTGTGGGGAAGGCTGCTGTGGACTCATATTTTATAGTGTGATTTTGCCTTTTGAGAGGCAGATACTGCAAATAAATGGACACTTAAATGAAAAATCGATAGTTCTTCCCTTTGTCCTCACTCATAGGATTACCTAGCATGTCAAGAGGGCAACCAGAGCATATTTTGAGCATTGAGAACTGTCTTCCCCAAGATGTTTTCAGGAATTGTTGCTATTATTCCCCACATCACAATCAGGAAAAAAAATACAATCACTCAACTTATTAACAATACCAAGCAACTTTGTTTTGTGAATGCCTCCTTTGTGCTAACTCACATCCCAGACCTGTGTCTGCACTCAAAGAAAAGTGGGGCTTCACCTTTCCCATTTCTGAGTAGTCTGTTCTTCTTTCCTTATGCTGGCCTTGAAAACCTAGGTGATCTTTCAGAAAGAAGCCCAGGTGAACCTTTTTAAAGGTGCCTCAAAGTCATTAAAGCCTAGCTGACCATGGCCCTGGTCTTTTAACTCTCCCAGCATTTCCCAAAAGCAGCCTGTTTATCTTGTAGGCAGCAGATTACCTGTTCTTGCAGTGCACTCTATTCCTGGAGATGAGCTAACACCTAATTCCCCCCACAGCTCCCAACCAAAGAAGAGGAAAATTAGTTCTTTTCCCATTATTGTGAAAGAAATCTTATACTCATTTGGACTTTAATTAAATTTTATCCAGACATTATCTTTCCCTTTTTCTGTTAGACAATTTTCTGTTTCCTGGAAGGGTCCCAGAGTCTGTGGTCTTTCTGCTAATTTTGCCTGTAATTTATAAAAAAACTGTGAACAGAAGTAAATTGTCAGCAGCAAGAGGTTGCCTTGGGTCTGCCTGAGCCAGAGCTCATTCTGCCCTCCCTGAGCTGTGCCTAGGAAGGTGCTGCTCACACCCCAGTGCTTTGGCTCTGCCTGAGCAGTGCTGGCACTGCAGCAATGCTGCCTCTCCAGCATTCCCCCCTTGTCTGTGGGCTGGGAGTGGGCCAGACCTCAGTAGGGGCCATTGCCAGTACAGCAGATCCAGCTGACCAAAGGGATATTCCATGTCATTCTGATGTCTGCTCAGCAAGGAAAGCTAAGAGACAGGAGGATGCAGGAGGCATTTGTTATGACAATGTTTGTTTTCTGTGATAACTGCTGTGCCTGCTGAGGCCCTGCTTCCTGGGTACTGGCTGGCCAACTCCTGCTGATGGGAAGTAGAGAATAAGTATTTTATTTTCCTCTGCTTCCATGCACAATCTTTGCTTTTATTAAACTGCCATTATCATGAGCCACAGGTTTTTTCTATCTTATTTTCTCCTTCCCTCCTCATCCTGCTGAAGATGAGGGAGGGATGGAGTAACTTGGTACGCAGTTGGGATCCAGCCGAAAACAGGACTTTCAAGGTGGGAAGGCTGTTCTCACCATAGTTTAATGTGACAAAATTCTGAGAGATTAATGCTAGGCAGGTTTTCCTTTCTTTAGAAGTTACTGGAGGGCAATTCAGACCTGGGCCATAAGCCAGGTGAACTTTGCATGTTTCACACACTGAACTTGTGGCAAAAATGTTGGAATGCTTTAGAATGAGCTGATGCCTTTGGAAAGTACCTGGAGTCATAAAATGATATGTTTTCTCCTTTAGGCTTCCCAGAAATACAACAGAGGTAAGCTTTTGGTAGAGAATAAACAAGAGAAAAAGAGGCCAAATTTCCCCCCTGATCCACAAGTCTAATGTTATGATTAACTTCAAGTGAAATAGCCTCAACTGTAGAGAAAAACAATTATTGCTCAACAGAATACTTAGAACTGTTCCCTCTGGTTTAACAGATATCTTTTAAAGCAAAGAAAACCTGAAAGAAAAAAAGTTTTGTGATTTGCTACATGTTTTTGTCTGACTTCCTAAGCCCTAGGGACAGAGAATGAGATGTCTCATACTTCTAACCTTGTACAGTTGTAGGATGATTCCTCTCCTTCAGTGGAACTGGAGTCATCCCACATAAAACAGGGCAGCTGAACTGCCTCTGGCAATTGGCCATAATAAAGGATCACACAACTGCCATCATATGAGAACGTCCCCACTGGCCATGAGTGTTAGGGTCCCATTTTCAGAAACAGTTTCCCTAGCTTGCAAGAGCCTAGCATTCAGAGAAGCAGAGTCCTAAGGCTAAGGAAGGATACCAAATGAGTAGCCCTCTTTGGACTAGCATCTGCTTCCCAGTGGGAAAACTTTCTTTCTTTCCTTTATACTGTATATTCTTTCATAATATGCTTTCAGGAACTGCTGAACTAATCAAAGTAATCTCTCTGCAAAGGCATGTATACCAACACCAAATCTAATGAAGCAGGAAGACAGCTTCTATAATGTCTAATTTACTTTCAAAAATATATATTTATTCTGTGATTTGATTACTCTGCCAATCATATTACAGGCTCCCTTAAACTGCCAAAAAAGTCGGTGCTTCCAGACTACCTGGAAACAAAATATTTTCAGTGCATTAACTCATTGTTAAGATAAGAGGGAATAAGGAAGTAAAATGTCACTTGTCTTCCAGGGAAAAGGAGAACTTTATGTACAAGCTGTACGTAAGCAGATTGAATGTTGGCATTGTCCAAAACTAAGACATAAAGCAGAAAACTAAGAGGATCTAAGCAATGAAAATGAGAATGTCAAGTCAAAGATCACATCTGATCTAGTACTTATGCTTTTCTTGAAGATTGTATGTCTGAAACTTTGTCTTATCAGTTTGACAAGATCAGGATGTAACTGTGCAACTCCTTTGAGTACAGAGTTCATGCACGGGAGACCTACCATTGTCTCATTTCTCTGCATGTCAATCATTTCTGTACTTTCTGCTCTACTCCTTGATAAACTTCATTTGGAGATAGTACAAGCCTTTGCCAGTTTCACATTGTGGCTTTCTGTAATGGCATCTCCTGACTAGTAGTAAAATGCAAAATTATCTTCCGAAAAGGTCCTGCCCCCCAAAATGTCCATTGTTTGCTACAGCATCCTTATGGTGCAAGCACTGTGCATGCACAGAAGGGTGGATTTGGAGATCACATTAATAGTCTTTTGAATCTTGTACATTAATGTCACATCCAGCATTGCCCTGATATTCATGTGTCACAAAGAGAGACGGGAAGAGCGCGCTCTACAAAGTGACCACAGAATCTCAAACACTGGCAAAGGTGAAACTAGTCAGTGGATCAGCCATCTCTGGGTGCAGTTCTGCCACAGCTGGTTTAAATCTGGCTTGGTTCCATCTACTAACACTGCAGAGCACAGACACTTGATGAAATCTGCCTTTCACAATGGACCTGCTAATAATTATTCTTAGGGTGTCATGGTTTGAGAACCTGTAGTGTCTAAGAAGTGTCTCTGCTGGTTAATGTTCAGTGGCCTGGTGACAACAAGGATTGTTTCTGTCCTTGAATGAGTGTCAAAAGGATTGCTTCCCTCCTTAAATGACCATTAAGGGAAACTGCAACACTATAGATGAGTGCCTTTCATTAGAGGCTCAGCTCCCATTCACACAAAGAAATGCAATCCTTCAGTTTATGGTTAGGTACTGCAGGTGTTCATTTAAGGAAAGGTACATGTGCAGAGAGCTGGGGGAATGCAGTTCCCACCATTACTAACACAGCCTTCTCACAAAGGCTTTCCAGTAACAGTTCACACCATCTATTTTTAATACCAACTGCAGTGAAGATAATAGCTTGCATCAGGGTCATTTGGATAGTGGGTGGAAGGCCTAAACTCTGTGATACTTAGGCTTCAGTATCTGCTAGAAGAGTTTTTTCACACACTGTGCCTAATTCTCTGTTGCAATCAAACTTCGCTTTACAACAGTAATGGACCTTCAACTGGGAATTCAGCAATTCATGTCTTTGCACAGTGGAACGTAAAGCCAGATTTGTGTGAATGAGGATCTGTTCATGTGTACTTTACCTAAACACAACTGGAAAGAAAGCAGGCAACTCATGAAACAGGTGGATATTTGCTGTTTTCCACTTAAGGTATTTGTGCGGGGCTTTTTTGGGGGTTTTTTTTGTGTTTTTTTTTTTTTTTTTTAACTAAAGAGCAGAAAAGGATGATGTCAGATTTCAGATTTTATCCCTATGTTTTGTTTATTTTTAGAAGTAGACCAACAAACAACCATGACCTTAATTCTACAAGGCAGAAGTGCATACAAGCACATTGTTAAATATCAGAATCTATTTGAGTTCTGACAGTTTCAGTGGAACTGTACACATGCATCTTCTTTAAAAGCAGACTACAAAAACTAACTCACCAATAGGGTGAAAAAGAACTGTATATTTAAGACAGATTGAACTCCACCTTTTTACTTCTTTGTCTTCATACAGCAATAGTGGGAATAGCATTAAATTTCAGACATAAATTGGTCAAAGGCAAAACAGAGATACCAGCACTTACAAGTGAGCATCAGTTTTATACTGTCATTAAAGTGAAGCTGGAATCAGATGGAACAAGCTGCAAACTGGGCATGTGCAGACTCTGCCCTCTCCTGTATTTAAATGGAAGCCGCTGCTGCTGCCCTTTGCTGAGCTGATGGACTGAAGCAATCTGAAGCTCTAGTGAGAAACTCTGCACTGCATCTCACACCATTCCAAAGAATCCAATAACCTGCTTCACACACACAAAGGTAAAGTGGCTGGCTTAAATTCAGAGGACAGCTCTTCTGTCTTGGTTTTTGCTTAGATTTTGTTCACCTGAATAATCAGCCCAATCAGAAGAGGATCTTTTTTTCCCTCTGAGGACACCAAGAGCACCAAAACTGTGGAGTCCCACAATGCATGGAATGACTCAGAAGCCAATGCCTACACACGGATGGATCTGCTTCTTAGAGCCCCAACAGTAAGTGTTTTCTGTCACTTAAAGCTGTAGCATGATCTAGACCTCTGGCAAGGCTGGCATTTATAGCACTGTAAATGGACAGTTAAGGAGCATGTACACATTTTATGCTGTAATGTAATAATAACATAATGAAAACTTATAAATCTTTTTATTGCTTTAACTATTTATTTCATGCAGAGAGGGCTACACAAGCAGTGTTTTTCAGCAGAGTTGCATGGGCAGAAGACAGGCAGGAATGTCTAATGGCAAAGTGCATCAAAGATGTTGCAAACTATCAAAACAAGATGTTCTTGTACATTAAACTGCTGCTTAGCAGTTCAAACACAATGCTCTCTTCTGTTGTTACTTAGGGTGGAAATCCCCATAATTTCTGTAATAATCTGAAAGTGCAGTGGAGTGCTTATGTAAATGTTAAAAGAGTTACGTGCAGTTGCCCAAGAAAGTTTTTTGGAAGGTTTTCTCAGGTAAGTCCTAGCAAAGCTCCTTCTGAGTTTTTATATACTAAAGAGAAAGACATTTTCCTTGGAAGTGTGAAATCTGTGAATCTGTTGTAATGACACTTGAGGATGGAATTTTTTGTTTGCTAAAAATTTTCTCCATCTCACCCCACAAGCCTGAACCAAAGGAATTCAGAATTCCTCTTCCTGGCTTTGTCTCTCACCATGTGCTGTTTTTACTAAAGTCTGTTTAAAAGTTTATAATAAAAACATGAACCAATCTAATTTTTAAAGTTTTTAAAATCTATTTTTTAATAAAACTTGGATATCTGCAGTATATTACAAAAAAATAAACAAGGAACTGTCCTGAGCCAAGGCACTTAAAAGGCTAAATTAAATGGATAATAGGTGAAAAAGGATAGCAGAAGGTAGCAGGGAGGGAGAAAAGGGACTGGAGAGTGCATGGCAAAATGGAAAAGGATTCTGGGGACACAGTGATTTACACTGGAAAATTAAAAATTGATCTTTTCCATGTTCTGCTGAACAATCTCATTAGCTGTCCCTTTTCCTCTCCCTAGGTCAAGTGTCTGTATCACCAAAATTTTGCATTTTAACTTGACACAAAGGCTGGCTGAAGAGAGTTTCAGGAGTGAAAGCAGTGTGTGCTGCTTGTGGCTGAGATTAAATCCGCAAGATAGGATACAAAATCTGCTATCCAAATTGCTCAACAGGGCAAGCATCATCCATGGAAAGCCCTGCTGTCCACTGGAAAGAGGGCTTAGCAGTCAGCGTCACCCTGCTGAAACCGTAATTGAGGGGGATTACACTCCTCTCTGTGCTGCCTGTCATCACAGGGCAAGTGCCCACAGAGGCAAGCTTAGAAACCAGAGAAAGGACCTGTGAAGGAAAAGGTGCTATCACTTGTTTGAGGCCTCTTGTAGGTAAGCAGTACAAACACCACACGAGGAACTCCAGGAAATTACAGTGTTTCTGGTCAGATAGTTTTTCTAAATTATGTCATTTGTTGTAATGTAAAAGGCCTGACACTATCATTGGTTGTGTAAGTCATACTGTGTAAATGCTGGTCAGATAGTTTTTCTAAATTATGTCATTTGTTGTAATGTAAAAGGCCTGACATAGGTTGTATAAGTCATACTGTGTAAATAAGTGGCTTCCTTACCTGCATTTGTAGGAAAATTAGGAACAAAGAAACTTGTTATGTTGCCAAAGTTCACATTGGACTTCCAAAACTTGCAATGTTTTGGAACTGGCTTCTCTTCTATTGTAACACTATTCCTGCAAATTCAGTGCCTACAGTTTGAAGTTAGAGGAATTCATAAAAGCAACCACATAGCACTCCTATTTTCTTCCCCTTTTTGTTATCTTGTTTTACACCAAATTAGATAGAATCCTTCTGCCATACTCAGGCAGAAGTAGTTGAAAAAATGTCTTTGACATAGTTTTTTCTGCTCCTGGCTTTAGAATTGATGTCATACAAATCAATCAGAATCAGCACTGAGACATGTTCAAATGCCCAAATGACCTTATGATGATTTCTTCTTTCCATGTAGCTATAACTAAACCTGATCTTATACTCTTGCCATTGTGAGACTGTGAGAAGTGGGCTATATTAGATATTATTTTCTATGAGTATTTGCTTGTAGGGCCTTGCTCCTACCTTCATCACTGTTAGCTTTAGTAGGACTTCAGAAATAAACATCTCCAAGTCAACGGTACTTAAGAGATATGATTTTGTTTCCTCACTCTGAAAAAGAACGGATGGGTTTTTTTTTCTCAGTAATAGCTGAATTCCAGTTTTGGAATGCTGTCCTTTTATCACTTATACAGAAATACCTTTCTCATGCTATGGTGATGTGTGTTGGACTTCAGAAATGGCGTATCTTCAACGAGAAGTTATTCAGAGGTTAGCTGGTTTGGTTCATTTGGGTTTTCTTATTTAATCAATTATTAATTAAATATTTAGAAAACATTTTCTTTAGGAAACTGTATGATAATGGATTCCCAAGACAAAACAGCTACAGGCATCAAATATTCCTGGGTTTAATATCTGGTCTAGACTTCCTTCTTACCTGGACAAATCACTTAGGAATCATGATTTTGGTTTGGATTGCAAAGGAGTTCCTTTATCCTTTCAACTGTCCTCAGATTAGTGTCTTGAAGGGTCTTGACAAACTTTACAGTGAAATACAAGTTCTGCCCTATGTGCCTTAATGAATCTGCCCTGTGGCTGATTAATTGTTACTCCTTCTCTGCTTGCACCAAGCCTTAGTCTGTCTCTTCCTTAAGAAGCAAGCTGGTTCCTCAGATTGTCCCTCAAGGAAGAATTCTGCCTCCCTTGCAAGCAGCCATGGCAGCAGGTCATAAATATAGAATAATGAGCTCCATATTGTGCTGCAGCAAGGATTTAGACATATTTATCTATAAAACATTTGCTTTTCTCCGAACTTCCAGAAAGCATCTCAAGTTTGCAAGTCTCATGCAAGTTTACTGCAGGACAACTGAAAACACAATTCTGTTTTAGCTGTTTTGTTGGAGGCAGTACACAAATATTCCTTTAGGGAAAACAATAAGCATTTTAAGAAGGCAAACTTCATTAAACCTAGCTGCTTCCCCCTACTCTAGTGCTTCCACAAGGACACACTTAAACCTGCCAGAAAGAAACACATTGACACAGAGCATCTCCATAACTTGACTCTGCATCTGCTGAGGCAAATGACAGAGTAGGATTTAGCAAAGGATTACAACTATATATGGAGGATTAAAATTTGTGGAGGACTAAGATTTTCCTTTCCAATGAATAATAACACTGTTTTAGGGTACAAACCAATTATTAAGACTCTTCTTAAAATTAAATTTGCACATCACTGTTTCTTATGTACATTTGGTATCTATGAAATGCCCAGCCCTGGCTGAAGGAGGCTGGTGTTTTGTCAGGGATGCTTTTCTGACCCAGTGTGGCCCTTCTCAAATTGATTCTGCAAAACTGTAGTGTAAACAAATAATAAATGATATGCCTTCCAGAGATTAAAAACATGAATTCTTACACAGCTCTACAAAAGGCCTGTTTTCATATGCACCCAAATGAAGTTATAAAACCTGCTTTTAATCTTGGCTAAAGGTTGAGAGAGTTGTGTTTGTTGAGCCTAGGGAAGAGATGGCTTTGAGGAGACCTTAGAACAGCCTTCCAGTACCTGAAGGGACTACAAGAGAATTTGATGGGGAAGTTTTGCAAGGACATAGAGATAGAACAAGGGGTAATGTGTTCAAACTTGAAAGAGGGTAGGTTTAGATTAGATATTTGGAAGACATTCCTTACTGTGAGGATGTGAGGCTCTGTGGATGATTAATTGTTACTGGGGAAGCTGTGGATGCCCCATCCCTGGGAGTATTCAAGGCAAGGCTGGATGGGACTCTGAGTACCCTGGGATAGTGGAAGGTGTCCCTGCCCATGGCAGGGGTGTTGGAACTAGAGGATCTTTAAGGTCCCTTCTGACCTAAACCATTCTATGATCCTATGAACACCCCCAAGACCCTCTCCCCAGGGCTGCTTCCAATCCCTTTTTCACTTAGCCTCTATTTGTGCTTGGAATTGTCCTGACCCACACAGAGGACCTTGCCCATGGCCTTGTTGGACGTCATGAGTTCTGCATGGTCTGACCTCTCAAGCCTGTCCAGGTCCCTCTCCAGGATGGAATCTCTTCCCTCCAGTATATTGACACAGCTGGGTGTCATTAGCAAAGCAGCTGGGAGTGCCCTCGATCCCACTGTCCATATTGCCAACAAAATGTTAAATAGAGCTAGTCCCAGTCTAAATATCTTCATTATGAGGTGCTTATAGAAAGAAGAGTGAACACAAAACATGCAAGGCAACCCTGCTGTGCATTATCACTGCAACCGAAGTAGTTGTTCAGAGTATTCTCAAAGGACAAGTACTACAATATGGATTGCAACAGGGGGATTTTTATTCTCCCCTGCCAACCAAGTACTTGTACTGTGTGATGATAATAGAAGACAGAATAAACAGGGCTAATGCACTGCAGAAACTAAATAGAGAAAGGCTTTGGGAATTATCTGATTTCTTGATTATCCTGCTGACCTGATTTTCTCAAGCACTATCTTTTTCTCCCTGTTCTTTCTTTTGATTACTGCAGAAGGCAGAGGGCTGAACTCGATACAGGCATGTATTTTTGTCTTCTCCTATGGAAGCTGTGTGTATGTATGCAACTTAGTGAAGGATTTGAAGTGCTTAGTGCCTGATCTAATGCCTTCTTGATCAACTAGTACCTTTCTTTGACGTAAAAAATAATAATTGTATTTCCAATGAAAATAGTGAAACTACTTTTTTTTAGTAAGAGATTTTTATCTCTTAGAGAACAGCTGAGTTGTAGCCTCTGGTAAAAATTCAAGGCCTACAGGAACTCCACACTGTAATGCTAATTTATTCCTTTTGCCACACCTTTTCCTGATCATATATGTAGTTTTATAATTTATGCCCTAGCACTGCTCCAGTATAGTATTATTCTTTTTTTTTCTCACACTTGACACTTTTATGGATTCTGAACTTGTTTCATTAACAAGTGATTTTAAAGTCTTCTATTTTCCCTTAACTAATTTTGCCTCTCTTGTGATTTCTCTGTGTATTTATATTTATCTTTCAAATTTTTCCTTGTCCTTAGTGCTCCACAAATTTAATTCAAATTAAAGACACTTTGATCTGTTCTTCATAGCCAAAACAAACTCCTTTAGTTGCTTCAATTCTATTACATTGATCTAGTTCTGATTAAATGGATAGCTACAGGGAAAAAACATCAGAAATCTCCATTCCACTAATAATCATAATTAACTCCCTGCAGAACAGCTGCTTAAAAATGTTCTAGCCACAAGACTAAGAAGAAATAAAACCAACCCAAACCAAAGAACACCTGATCTCATTTTCTTGAAAGAGTTTTATCTCAGACTCTCCCTATCCACTTGCTATTAGTATGGGATTATTTTTGTTAGTTAGTTTACTGGCAGCATGTTGAGCACAGCAATTTCTAGCTGGGCAAGATGCCCATTGATGTTAATGATGTTATGCCAACTTCCACTTTGCTGCAGGAACCTGAACTATAAATGCTGTGATACTGTCATTCAGTTAGTGCATCAAACTTAACATTTTGCTCCAATTACAGTAACAGCCAGAACTACATTTTCTTTCTCTAAGATCAGAGTATTTGTCCAGCATTTCATTGCTGCTAATGCAGAAACCCAGGGAGTGCACTCTGGTGGTTGAGGATTGCTGTGGGTAGATCTTCAGCACACAAAGCAATCTCATCCAGAATTCCAGGCACTCCTGGGGTTCACCTCTTGCTACTGGCACATTGGTTTTAAATCCACATTGCCTGTAATAACCTCAGCCCAACCTCACAGATGCATTCAGAAGTAATGTCCACTTCTATTGTCCAAAAATACCCATTTCCAATACTGCAATTTTCAGTCTTGGCTACTGAATTCTGCTGTGAGTTATTAACTGATTAAAACACAAATGCTTCAGTCAAGTGGTTTATGAAATACTTCACAGAGAGAAAAATACCTTGATTCAGGCAGATCAAAACCAGAACTGGTGTGGAAACCAGGCATAAGGTATAAAGGAATTGTGGTTTAGTTTTTCTGATCCTTAATTTAGTTTCCAAAAGACTCTTATTCAAGCTGCCAGGCTTTTGGTAATCAGCTCTTGAGGCCAGCTCAAATTGCAGTGTTATTCAGTGGGGGAAAATGAAGTGGCCGTAGTGCTAAAGGAGTAAATGCCTATTTATCCATAGAACATTTCTACTTAGAGAAGTCTAGTCTGTGATGTCAGAGGACAACAGAAATTGTACTTCACAGATACAGAAACTTTCCTGAAATTAAATATACAGGAAGCTTATTTGTTGTTAAATACTGCATTACCTGATATCAGATGCAATGAAACAGGTCCCTTCCTGTGTCTTTTCTCCTCTATGTCCTTATTTTTCTTTTGGGAGAGAATAGGTTGCTTTTCTTCACCAAAATTCTATATTGACAGTAAGCATACAAACCATCCTTTGCCTTTGCACTGCTGATGGCATATTTATGCTCCAAAGATGATCAACAGTAAATGGAATTTGAATGTATTCTGACTTTTTTTGCTTGTTGTCTTTTTGCACTCTTGACCATTTTCCCTTCCAGAGAAGCACATTCCAGCTTATTCAGAAAAGTTTGGCAATATACCTATGACCTCTCATTTGCTCCACAGAAGATGACAGTGCAAGATGCTCCTCGTGCCTTTCCCACAGTGGATGTTCCAGACCATGCCCATTATACAATTGGAGTTGTCATCCTTCTAGTGGGGATTACAGGAACTCTGGGTAATTTCCTGGTCTTCTATGCTTTCTGCAGGTACGTTTCTTTTGAAGGTCTTTTTAAATATTCAGATGTATGAACTTGACCTGTGTGCTGCAAACACAGTCCAGGAATAATGTCAGACTTCTTCACTGGCAGAGTAAAATGCACCAAGAGACATTGCTGTAGGAAAAGTGGCAACCTGCCATTTCCCTTTGACTTCTTACCATTAATCACAGCCATAGCAAAATAGGATTTAGTTAGTAGGATTGCAAAGAACCACCTAGATATTCCAAGCTGAAGAAATGCAGTCAAAGCAGAAATGTTACAGTGAATTTTTTTCTACTGGCCATGTCTGCATTGAACTGGGCTGGTTTGCACCTCTGTACCTCATAAATCTGCTCTATAGATGTTTCCTTCCTCCTGTTTCATATTAGTAGTTTCTTTCTTCCCCCCACTGTTCATAGTGGCCATGTCCCATTTTTTTCACATTTTCCATCACTTGGCTTGTTTCCTTTTAACTGAAGCCACATTCCAACTTTTCTATCTGAGGGAAATTGGATCTCTGACAATGTCATATGCTCACCATTCCTGTTCACTCCTCATTCCCTGTCTGATTTGTCACACTGAAGCAGAGCATTGACATGATGTTCAAGCCAGTAAACTTCTACTATTTGATTGGTCTTTAGGCACAGATGTAACAAACCAAAATAACAGCAACAAATTATAGGATAATTTGGCTGTGCTAACTTAGATCACTGGAGTGTAGATGGAAGTTGTCTTGGTCTCAAGCCTGTACTTATGGGCAGTAGGTTTCAGCACATTCATTCAGAGTAGGATGGCATACTTAAGTGAGAATGGCTGTGGCCTTAAGAAGAGAAAAGGTGTTGGCATGCAGATCAGGCATGTGAGGATGAAGTACATGAGCCAGCTTAGCTCTTTGGATGGTCCCATACAGGAAATCCAGTTATGGCACTTTCACTTTAGGACACAGCTTGTCTTCATTTGAGGTGATACAAAGAAAGTGATACTGATAGCTCAGTAACAAGTACATCAGAAATTCAGAAAACAGTTTACATGCTTATAAAGCAGCCTCGGGTAATGACAAACCATAAGAGAGCCAGCTGCCTGAAACAGAAATGTGTTCAGTGACTTCACAGACTACAAACAACCCATAAGCACTTACTAATATCTCCTTGCTCCTAAATTGACAGAAAGGGGTTGGTTGTCCTAGTGATTGATTCTGGACCAGGGCAAAGAGCCATGGTTTATTCACCTATTTTTCTATTATGTCTAAGACTGTAATTGAAAAAGGAGCTAAGTAGTTACACTGAGGCCCAAAATGAAGAGCTCTTGGTTGAGTTTCCATGTGTACCCTTTAAAACATGGTAGTGTAATATTATGAATAACAAAAGCAGGCAGAATACACTGAAGGCTGCTTATTGCTCCTTTAAAGACTGAGTTTGGGCCAGTGAAATGAATGTCACAGGGAAGAACTGATGTGAAACAAAGTGATGTGGTTCATTCATAGTGAGTTTGCTTAATCCCTCTATTAGGAAGCCACTGTTGATCTTATCAGCAGTGGAAACTGCATGCCCCTTCTCCTGCTTAACACTGCCCAGATCCAGGCATCCACAGCGTACACCAACTCTACCTGTTAGTCGTGGACATGCACCAACCAGTGCACTGGTTGGAATATTTAAAGAAGTGTGATTTATCGCCCTCACTGAGCTGGTTATCAAACAATCCTGTAAAATGCACAGGAGTATAAGGATGTAAAACTGGGCCTTGCTTGTGTTCTGTCATGAGGGAAACAAGAAGCACTTTGCTTTAGCTTACCATGGAGTGTTCCTTGGGATTTGTGAGCCCACAGGAAGGAGTAGCAGCATAATTAACAGTGCAGCAGTGTTTAGCAACATTTCTTCTGATCTCTGTAGGAGTAGGAGCCTTCAGACTCCAGCCAACATACTCATCATCAATCTAGCTGTTAGTGACTTCCTGATGTCCATTACACAGTCTCCAGTATTTTTCACCAGCAGCCTCTACAAACACTGGATTTTTGGTGAGAAAGGTTTGTATATATATTCTAAGATTTTACTATGTTTGTTCTTACCATAGTGGCAGTAAATCTCAGAGTACCCTCAGGTACTTTTGCAATTTTGAGACCATTTCTCAACATTGTTTCACTGTTGACACATTTCATTGAATATTTGTGTCTGTGTGCAATAAATACACTGCTGTCATGAGAGGGAAATTACATTAATGAGACAGATACAAAGGCATCACTAGCAACAGGAGGCACAGCACTTCTTGCCACTGCTCTTCTCCAATCACCTCATGACTGTTAGAGTCCTCTGACAAAGAAGCAGTACCCCTCAGCACACCAGCTTAAAAGCCCTTCTAAATTACCTGTGCTGGGACTTGCACCTGACATAGTGAGGCAAGAAGCCTGGAAAATCTGATTTTTCACAACAGAAATTCAACACTTCCTGTAGCGTAGTAAGACAATATGTAATAAAGGTGCTTTCATTCTTCCAGTATAACTGTTATAAGAGGAAGACTAGTCTTTGCCTCTTGAACACCTGTTGAACACTGACAGAAAGGAAACTCGGAAGTAAAATTGCTATTTTGATATCTGATGACCAAAAGCATATTTTTATTTTACTTCCATTAAGTGCTCATTTGTATACATGTTAAAACTAATCCAAACCACTGTTTTTAATCTTTAGGTTGTTTAAACAATTAAAATCACTCATTAATGTATTCATAGTCTGAATATTTACTTCCGCTAAATTACTCATTAATATATTCATATTTACTTCAGTTTTGCTGCCCTTGAGATATGAACAAGTGAAGCAACTATATCCCATTGTTAAGCAAAACAGCTGCTTCTATGGGACCTCCAGCAAAACTGGAGTTAAACAAGATATTAATGTAGTGCTGAAATGATCCCACTAGAAACACCAGAAATCAATGAGTGCAAATATGTTAAGTATCACTGTCTCCAGCAATTGATGCAAACAAAATATGTGAAGTTTATCTCCATGGATAATGTAATTAGCAAGACAGCAGCTTTGAAGTAGCATTATAACTGCAGGAAAGCTCAACTTTCACTGCTTTACAAATTCCAGAAGACATTAGTTCATAAGAAACACAGACTTGAACTCTCCTAGAAATAATTAGCATGGGTAGATTAATTTCATTGCTACTTCTGTCATCTTCATTGCAAGGCTGTGAGCTGTATGCCTTCTGCGGAGCTCTTTTTGGCATTACATCTATGATCACTTTGATGGTGATTGCCTTGGACAGATATTTTGTCATCACTAAACCTCTGGCTTCTGTTGGAGTGACGTCAAAGAAGAAGGCCCTAATAATCCTGGTAGGAGTCTGGCTGTACTCTTTGGCTTGGAGTCTCCCACCCTTCTTTGGATGGAGTAAGTGAACTGCAATAAAACTTTTTTGCCCTCATAGTACTGGATTAAAGACCAGTTAAAGGTACAGAAGAGGGTTGAATTAATAGCTCATATATGAGGTTTGAGTAGACCAATTTGAAAAAAAAGAGATGAAATACATGTTGAAACTGAAAGTCTCTAATCAAAAGAAAAGTGGGCATTACAGCATATTATGTGACAGTGGCACTTTTCCTTAAGCACATTACTTGCTCCATAAAGGACAGCAGATAAATTCATCGCAAAAATTTACGAAGAATGCACCTGCTCATTTTCCCATGTCTACTTCCATTGAATCAAATTTAACAATATATAAGTTCAATAAATGTATTTGTGTTATTTCTGATGAGTTTTCCTCCCCAGAAGTGCTGTCTAAGAGAGCAGTGTCAATCTAATTCTTTCCATTCACATAAAAGAGTCTGAGCATTTGTGCCAGGTGATCTTCAGTAAGTCTTGACTGTGTTTTGCATGGACAAATTGCACTTAGTTTTGCCCACGTTCTCTGTTCACTCATTGGTGTTGTCACTGGCTTCCAATAAGCATGGCATTTAGTAGTAACTAAAATGCTTTTGTAAATGTGAATTTCACACATGGAAATTGGAACATTCATACAGCACCTTGATCATTGCAATTTGTGACAAAGCGAGTTTCTGTTATTCTTCCTCACTGGAATCTGCCTCACTACCATTAAGTTTATTTCCTGAGAGTCACCAGATGCAGTCACTAAGTTAGCATGAACTCATCATTCAAAACCCCAGCCCACCATTATGCTCCCTAATTCCTGAAGAGAATATGTCTGCCAGCTGAGGTGAGAACATAGACATTTTTGACTAGTAAAGGATGCAACAACCAACTCAGGTACTGTAGAATTTCAGCAGAGTTTTGTTATTGTCATATTTTTGCTATTCTGGTCCTCCCGCTAAACATGAAGGATGCTTAAGCAAGCAACTGCAATCCTGACAGAAGCAGACTTTAGTTGAGTGAGGAGCTGTTAGAATAACAAAATGACAATCTAGCCTCAGATTATAGATTTTCAGTCGAAGAAGGTGGAATAATTGCTTGAGGGGTGTTATTATCTTGTAATTAGATTGCAATAGTGCCCACAGTATGAACTCTCACACTGTAATTAGATGCATTTGAGAACATCTGGTGCAATATTTTTAAGAGTGGAACAGAAAATATCAGCATAAACAGTTACTATTAAAATTCCAAAGTAAAAAAACATTGCTATTGCAAATTTATTTACTTAACAGTTTGAAACAGTTCCTTTAAAAATAATACATTTTATTTCAGGCAAAACATTAGGTATGGGTTTTTTGGGTTTTTTTTACTTCTACTCAGCTTTATTTCATGACAAAATTATTTGGTCTACACAATAAATCTTTCTCTTTCGCCCACTAAATTTCTCTTATCTGCATATGCTTAGAAAAGTGGTACCTAGAGCAATTGGTTTGACTCCTTAGGAAGACAACAATTTGACAGGAAATTGAGATATTTAAAAATTATACAGGTCTGGTCCTACACCCAAATAAGTATTTGAATAGATTCCCTCTGACTGTGATGAGTTTTAAACAATATTCAAGAGTGAAGCAAAATTACTCAGTTTTCTGAAGCCTTAGACTGCTAAGCATAAATACAATAGGGAAACAAAATAATATAAAATATAAAACTTCTTTACATGAAGAATTGTGTATCCTTTTAAACCCTTTTTTCCCTTTCAGAGAATAATACTAAATCCCATATTATTCTGAGTGTCTTCTCTACTTTCTGCATTCAGAATAACATTCACTTCATGGCTTAAGCCTGTCTTCCTTTCTAGGTGCATATGTTCCTGAGGGTTTGCTGACTTCCTGCTCCTGGGACTACATGACTTTCACCCCATCAGTCCGTGCCTACACCATGCTGCTTTTCTGCTTTGTCTTTTTCATTCCTTTGATTGCTATCATATACAGCTATGTCTCTATCTTTGAGGCTATCAAGAAGGCCAACAAGTAAGTAGCCAACAGTCCTAAATTCTTATCCTCATCTTTAAGTGACTGTTTTCTTTAAGAAGAAAATTGGGATGTTTCTCACATTTATTTTGTCAGCACAACTGAAACAGAAAACCAAACGAGAATGCTATCAATAGTCAACATGGTAAGACATATGATTCTCTGAATTTAGGCCTGACCTTATCAGTGTATTATCTAATGACATGGAAAAGGGTACAGAAATTAACCAACCAGAATAAAAACAAAAGGGACCTCAGAAACACCTAATGACAGTGCATCAATAACCATTTCACAGAAAAATAGATGGAATTGAACTAAAAATTCAAATAAAAAATGAGATTAAAGATTTAATAGCAGGACTATGAAACAAAAAGCTATTGCTTTAAATGTCAAGGGCAACCTGCCACTCCATGTGCCATCTGTGGGTACCAGTGCCATAGATCCCAGTGGATCTGGTCACTTAGCTCAGAAATACAAAGTGACAGCAAGGCAGCAAAACAGGACCCAGGGAAGCAAAGACTCCTCTAAGTGTCTTTAACTCAGCAGCATTCAATTGGCTTGAACACCTGCTTTATGTGGAAAATCTTTCGGTACTTTTCTGCTATTTTTTTTTCATTTAAACACATGTGGATTTTCCCACTGATTAGTGCAACGGAGGTACATCGAATTGGGAAGGATGTGTCACATACTTGCATTTATGTGCAACAAAAGTGCATGAGTTTTAGCCTCAAGTAGCAAAGAGTAATTGTTGTCCCACTTCATGAAGCTATCTGCTCACCTCCCTACCTTTGTTTTTTGCTGTTGTATGTTTATTTTCCCTAGGTCTATTCAGACATTTGGATGCAAACGTGGAAATAGAGAGTTCCAGAAACAGTATCAGAGGATGAAAAATGAGTGGAAGATGGCCAAAATTGCACTGATCGTCATTTCGTTTTTTGTCATTTCCTGGTCACCATACTCTGTTGTTGCTCTGGTAGCTTTTGCTGGGTAATTATAAATGTCTTAGCAAAGCAATATTCAGTGAAAGCAGAGGATGTGGAACTGTAAAAGACAGTGAAATGTCAAAACTACTTAACAATGAAAGTCAAAACTACTTGTCACATTTGACATCTGAAGCATGTCCAAAACATTCATATATTTAGGAGTGATATTTAACAAATGGGACACATGCTGACTAATTTTTTCTTAGTTTGACTTTAAGAAAATTTAAAAAAAACCAAGAGATCAAAAGAAAGAAAACAAGAATATTATTTCTAGCAACATAAACTGCCATGCTGAAGATTTCTGAATGCATTCTCTATGCTAGGATATTTGAACTGTTGGAACTTTATTTAGCACTAAAATGCTAAATAAAGCACTCCAAAAAGATCCTCCCAGGGGCTGATTCTCTTTTTTTTTTCTCTACTTCTTTAATATACCAAAAAAATATTTTTTTTGTGTGTGTCACATCAAACTGCTAAAATTCTTTGCATGTATATGAAAATTCAAAATTAGTACATACATGTGTTGGAAGCTTTGTGATGCTGGATATAAAAGACCATAAACATAAATCATCAAAGCATGTTCTTTATCTATTTGTCACCATTTTATACAGTATTTTCAATGGAAGCATGACAGTATTAAAACATTTAGCTTGACCCCAGATAGTTGATGCACTCGAGGCATAAGTAATGGATTGGGAATCCAGATGCCTTGGCTCTGTGTGGTTATTTCTCCCACCTTAAGATGTGAATTTTCCTGTGCTTCAGTTTAGCCTCTCTAAAATGTGTGTGACTGTCTCTTTTAGGAAGGCTTGTCACCTGCAAAACCCCAACTGGGTGATTCCTATGACAGTACAAAACACTTCTCTGTATTTTTCAAGTAAGAGATAAAAAGTAGGTGTTCTTAAAATTGACACACAGCTCAAATTTACTCACTATGGAGCATTTTGGGAGACAAGGGTGATTTTTGTTATGCACCCAAGAAAGAGGCCACTGCAGGGCTTTGTCTTAACTGCTTAGAAAGGCAGTTTCCTAAACACAGCACCTCTAAAATCTTAGGTTTAAGAAGAAAAAAAAATACTGAGGGAAGCAGATCCTCTCCCTTTGTATGCAGACAGGTGATTCCCAGCTGCCATGAACATTTTCTGTATGAAGTAAACCCGTTCCTCACTCAGAAACACAAACCCTTTGTGTGTGTCCTAGTGTCCCATTTCCTGTCAAAGGGGAACTTAGGTACTGGACATCCTCCACTGGTGACATGTGACCAGTTAGACACAGAGGAGAAGCAAGGACACACAGAAATGAAGCACAGCTACCTTGCAGTACTGTAAGAGACCTAAAAGAAACTCAGGAGATGCTTTAAGCTGACCACTGTATAAAACTGTTGTGCTATCACATACAATTCAGCATCTGCCTTAGAAGGATCAAGTACCTGCTGAACTTCTGCTCCATATCTCACACTCTCAAAAATCTGAACACATGAATAATTTTATAATTCTGCAGAATGTTAGAAATTAGCAATTTTAAATGTTCCTTATAAAGATATCTGGGGAGCAACATCGCTTCATTCAGTTTTTTTCCATTTCTGAGCTATGTCTTTTAGGCAATTCTACTGGGATTTTTCAGATTAATAACCAAGCCTGGATGTCTTCTGTGAAATTTTATTGCAAGGGACTCAGATAAAATCTTGCTGCATGCTACATATGGGAGGAAGACATGGAGTCTGTGGCTATAGTCTAAGACTAAAGACAACTCATCTGACAGAGCAACAACATCTGAAAAAGGAAGGAAGAACCTAAATTCCTTTAGACCATATTTTGAATGGGGAATAGTGAGGTAGCACACAGTCATGCTCACTAATATTTTTGGTCTACAGGTTGCATTTTTTGGGAATTATTAGTTTAAACATAGGAATGATTCGTTTAAACAGAAGGCTTTGCCACTGTTTGTTTGTTAACTGAACTCTCCATCAGCCTTCCCAAAGCATTGTCTCAGCTCAGGGTCAAAATCTCCATTCCAGTAAGGTCACACTGTATGTTATCCAGAAAATGTGAAGATTTATACCTCTAATCAATGTTTTCAAAGGAGGAGAAACCTCCTTTCAATCAGGAGAAACCAGGTTATCCAGAAAATGTGAAGATTTATACCTCTAATCAATGTTTTCAAAGTATGATCAGGAGAAACCATGTTAAATATTGCACACAGAGAACATCCTTATCAGGGCAAAGCCTTAAGAGGTGAAATGGCATATCAACAGGCAGCTGATAAAAGGGTTCTTACACTGCAATTGGCAAACAATTTCCACCTCATCACCGGGCATATCTATTCCCATAGTATGATGAGAAACTTCCTCACCAGGATGGTGAGGCCTTCCTAAAGGCTGACATTGTCCCTAGGTTAAACAGTGTGGGAATTACCACAATCCTGAGTCATACTAGTGAAGTACTGCCAGAAAAGACCCAAAATCATATTTCTCAGAAATCCAATTAGACTGATGTTGATCTTTACAGGCAAAGGATGTACAATTTGTTCTCTCATTGTTTTGGTACAGAACTCCTCTTTAACTCTCCCTAGAGCCTTAAAGCACTGTCTTAGCACTGTATAACTGCATAGACAATGCAGAACTCAATAGTAAAGATATGGTGTGTTTGCATTACTCTAGGTATTCCCATGTCCTAACACCATTCATGAACTCCATACCAGCTGTGATTGCCAAAGCTTCTGTCATCCATAACCCCATCATTTATGCCATCACTCACCCCAAATACAGGTAAGTTCACTCCTACAAGCTATGTTTAATATAGAAAAAAAAAAAATCTGAGAGTAAATTTGTCATTTTTAGGTCTAGTAATCATTTATGCCATCACTCACCCCAAATACAGGTAAGTTCACTCCTACAAGCTATGTTTGATATAGCAAAGAAAATCTGAGAGTAAATTTGTTACTTTTAGGTCTAGTACCCAAACTCTCCTTCACCTGCTCATTTTAACTCTGTAGGACAGCCTTGCCCTCCCCAGGAACACTCCTCAGTGCCACAGAAATGTCAGTGGAATTTGTACTTGGAACAAACTCCTGAGCAGATGGTAGTTAGATATGTTTATGGATACTGATCTGTATTTACCTATTGCACGATAGAAGATGGAAACCTTTCCATCTCAAAGGAAAGCACCATATATTTGGGCACTGTTGCAAATAGCACTGTTACATTGTTACATTAACCAGGCCAGTGAGAGAGGCAATACAGTGAGCCAAACCACCCTTCCCTGTTTTGTGAATCCTCCTCATGTTTCTCCAGGCTTTCATACTTCAGGTAGTATTTCCTCTGGCAGGTAAAATGAAGGGTCATTACCACTCCAAGTTCAGGTGCAGGCAGTGAGATTTGAGAGATGGCAGCAATGCCACAGATTGACTGTTCTTTCACCACTTACAAAGACCTACTGTGGAAATGAATAGAGAAGAGGTGGGCAGGAACATCTTAATGGGGAAGAGGAAAGCTAGGCCAGAGTTTCCTAACACTGCATATGAGCAAAGTAGTACAGTAATATAAATGCACATTCTGTGCAATTCTACAGATAGCCAGCAAACAGATGTGTAAGAGGAGCTAGAATAGCTGCTTAGGGGAAGATTAAAATAATTCATTATGTAGTACTACTGCGAGGTTCAGTTTAAAGGGACAGAATTTTATTTTTGTCCTGATTAAGCTGAAAGCAGATAAAACATTGTTTTAATAGCTCCCTTCAGTTCCAAGAGTTATATTTTAATGCCCTTATCCCTGCCAAGCAATAAATTTGAGTTCTGCAGAACACTGTGAATAAGTGATCTTGCAGGGTGATTGCATATGAGATATCTGATATTTGGAAAACTCTTTTTGTACCCAGTAATTTTCCAGTCCATGCAGCATTGGTTCATCTCTGAATAAATGCATTGTTTATGATGATTGAATTTTTGTGCTAACAGACAAAAAATCTGACTGGTTCCACCTCTTATCCATTAGAAGAGCCATTGCAATGTATGTTCCTTGCCTTGGGCCCCTACTGAGAGTTTCTCCTAAAGACTCACGGTCCTTCAGCAGTTACCACTCCTCCAGACGAGCGACCGTAACCAGCCAGTCTTCTGAGATAAGTGGGCTGCAGAAAGGAAAAAGGAGACTGTCTTCTCTCTCTGACAGTGAATCAGTAAGGAGACACTTCCCATACAACCATTTTTAATTGCAAAACAATTCATCTTCATATGAGTCCTTCCAAGTGGTGGATTCCTTAAGGGAAATGCATTGTGGTGCTTGTTATAAAAACTCCAGAGAAAGTGGAGGGACAAAGCAAAATTAAAGACAGAAGGCTAAGTGTAGAAGCAGAATGTAGATAATTTTCTTCTTGATGGCTGGTGACACTGAAGGAAGAGTGGAAAGATGGAACAGGAATTTTAGAAAGTAAAGTAAAGCCTTGCCTATAAGCAACAATAAAGGTAGCATAGAGCTCAGTTGAAAGTCTGATCATACTTTTAGGTTGTGCTTGTCTCACCACAGATTTGCAGTCTGGATACAGAAAAAAGAAACTGCTAGTCAGAAAATAGTTCTCTAGTGAAAGCAAGGTTGTAATGAAATAGATAATGCTTTCTGAAAATGGGATGTATTTGGAAACATATTAATCATCAGATATAGACAAATCAGTAAATCCATTACAGCATCTTTCTTACAGAAGACCTCAACAGCTTGCTGCTGCCAATCTAACTGGAAACAAATGTTTTACACAGCAGCTGAAAACAGGGCAAGTATTTGGCATCCAGGCTGCCTTCTGTAACTCGAAGTTATATTATGAACTAAATAGGCATAATAGTTAGTTCATTGCAGTAATTTCAAACTAAATTTCCAAAGAACTGAAAAGAAAAAAATTCTTGGCAATTCTTTTTCACAGTCAGGATAATAATTGTATCTAATCCAGCCAAGTGCTGAATTCTGACAGTTGTTTTTAACAGTGACATTTCAATTTCTTTGCCCTCTCTGTTCTTTTGACTTCTTGGTCCAATCAAAATGAAATACTTCTGGCTGGTCGCCCAGTCAGGTGGATGGTTTTAAAACTGTCTAATAGAAAAGGAACATCTTTATAGTGTATCTCTAACTCTGCAAATTTTGATTCGTAAAAACCCAACAGATTCCTCAGTAACATGGTTTTGTTTTCCCATTAATTGGAAAAAAGTTTATAAACCCAGGACTTCTAACTGAAACAAAATATTTCTAAAGCACTGATTCTGCAGTCCTGAGCCATTTACTTCTATTTATTTCTGCTTCCACCCAAGCCACTTTGGAAACTTTGGCCCTAATTGCTCCAAACACCTGTGCTTCCTAAGTGGGTAGTACCGTGGAAACACTATCTCCTTGGAGCTACAACAGGCACCAGAGAAGTTTCAACAATAGATTGTAATGAAACACTATTTTCTTTCAAATTTTGCAGTGCATCCTGTGGAGGAAAAAAAAAGTAAGCTGAATTTTAGATGCAACAGAGTTGATAGTTTTATTTGTACTTCTAATAAGCAGACATTTTATGAAATTAAATATGGCAGAACTTCTGTGAAATGTCTTGTATACAATGCCTGTCTCTTTTATTATTTCTGTCTAGGTAAAACTGGGGCAAACTGGATGAAAGTCTAAGGGACCCAGAGTGAATGTTTTTGCTGTATTAATTTTAGGGCTGTACTGAAACAGAAACTGATACTCCCAGTATGTTCTCCAGACTTGCCAGAAGACAAATTTCCTACGAAACAGATAAAGACACAACTCAGACTAGTGACATAAGAGCCAAAGTGACAAGCCAGGATTCTGGGAATTGTGGGAAGGTAATAGACTGTGTAATACCTAAATTCTCTAACAACTGACAAGTTAACAAATCTGCACATTGTACCATAATTAATCATGAAGGTTCCTGCCAAGAAGATGCGGATAACCTATGAGTTAACACAATGAGTAATGACTTAGAGGCTGTAAAAGGTCATCAGCTTTTTATTCCCACCCTGGTTCATTATTCAGCTGTCTTCATTGCATTTCTGCTGCTGTTTTAAAGAACTTAACATCTGAATGGAGAGTTGTCTCATGTCTGGCTTTAAGTATTTAGTAATATTTGTGTTTCACTGTCCAAATTACTTGATTGATCTTGACTGTCCCACCATTTGTTACCAAATGAACAAATATGGTAAGATGTAAAAAACAAGGCTATCTTTAATATATCACTGCTTTTCAGTCAGTCCTCTGCGTGTCCTCTTTTTTCCCCATGCATTTTGCATATGTCAGATATTGTGACATACCTTTATGTCTTTTACATCTGTCTTATCTGTGTTCATTTTTCAGACAGCTGTAGATGCTGATGACATATTGATGGTGGAATTGAATGTCACAGAGTACATGGCTACACCTACTGTAAGAACTATTATTTTAATGTTTGGCAACAAAAACTAATGACAATCCCAGCGCCTGACCACAAATTAAGTTGTTTTTGAGATGCAAAAGTTACACAATATTCCCAGAACAATGCAGAAAACATGACCACAAAGGGCAGGCCATTGCTGAAACTAAGCAGAAGTTGCACATAGGTATTACAGGATTCTTCTGAAGTTCAGCTTCTTCAAGGAACCTGGATATTTTCTTGAATTTAGTAAGTCCTCTAATGAGGTCTGTAATTTCCTTAGTGGAACATGGAAGCATTAACTTTGTGCCATCTTTATATTAATGATGTACATGTTAAGCTGAGACAGTAATTCTGATGGCTCATACCTCTGAGACAGCCCTAGTCCTGTGGTAAGTACTGCTGTACAAAATGATGTTGTTAACTATTTAATGTTCTCTGTTTTGGGTTGCAGCAAACATCTAAAGCATGCAGCTTGGAGGAAATCAAGGTCAGTTTTTGAAATATGCCATGTCACCTATTCAGTAAGATGTTGCTGTATTAGTGTCTGTTTCTTCTTCATCTAACACAGCTACAGCATATGGGTAAAAATATCTGACATCTCTCACGAGTGAGTCAACTTGCCTTAATTCTCATCAGACATGGAAATAAAAGCAAAGAGCTGACAGATGAAAACAAGGCAGTGCTAAACCCAATGTAATACAATCACCTTAAATTGTCTCTTTATTATTAGCAATGATCCTTATGAGCTATTGTGAGCCTCATCCTCACTGATTTTTTGGTACTGTGCAAGTGACAGCTAACACTGCTTATTGTCAAAAAATGCTAGTTAATCTTTCCCTCAATTTTTACCTCATTATGTAGTTTGCTTCCCCCTTCAAATTATCCATGCTGTTAACACTGCACTTTACATCACCTCTTGCCCAATGACCCTAAGTAGACCCTCTTTATGGAGAAACTCTTTACCCAATTGAATTCATAGGCTGTCTGAGCATATTCACAGTATTTCTGTTCATAGCTGAATGTGCTGTCATTAGCCTGGTCTTTCTTCAAAGCAGACCAACACTTAAGTAGCAAACGCAAAGTCTTTAATGCTTTAGTACATTGGCTTGTTTAACAGGGTTGGTTTTGGGTTTTTTTTTCATAAGTTATTAATTAAATACTTTTTAAAATGTTCAGATCTACTTTTTCCTCCAGCATTTAAGTTTGCTTTTCAGTCAGCCATGGGGAGTAGCAAAGTGTTAAATATATGTCATTTTTAATAGATGACTCAATGAGATCTCCTTGTAGATGTTTGTGTTGTCCATTTCTTGTAAATCTTTGCATCCTTTAGAAAAGTACAAGCCTGAACAATATTGGACAAAGAAAAGGAGAGTCTCTCCAGGGATCATCTTCAGCCCAGATACCCAGTATTACAATAACATGCAGCAGTGTCCAAGGAGTAGAGCTGCCTTCTAGATACAACTCTGGTTTCCTGTACCCCAAATCCAGCAGTCACAAGCAGAACAAGAAGTCCAGCAGTTGAGTGGTGCAAGACAGAATATCACCTCAGCCAACAGCTCTGGAACAGCTGTGGACTGTCTGAATTCAGAATACCTTCCTAGATTGGTCTGAAATGCTCCTACAAAGACACAGCACAAGACAAGCAAGGATAAAAACATGAGGATTGATCTTTTCAGCATCAGAACTCTCTCCAGTGGATCACATCTTGATCTGAGTCACACTGTAATTTTAATATTTCTTCTTTATGCAGCTCATGAAAAAATTTATTTCATTTGGATTTTACTCTGCTCACATACATTCCCATCACTGCACAGACCTTACCTTCTAGGATTAACCTGAGAAGGAAGGGAAGTATGATATTTAAAACTGGCTTTGTTCACTTAGTGTATTAACTTCAAAGTTATTACAGAGCTAAAGCTGAGAAATTTGGGGGGAAATGCACACTACTTCCTGAAGATGGTTTCTTCATTATTGTGAAGTTTCTCAACCAAATGTAAATTTAATTATACAGTCAGTGCCCCCTTCTCTCATTAATGACACATTTTCTCCCATATACTTCTACAATCCAATGAAAGACAATGGACTTCAGCAGTAATTTGAAGTCTCATATCTGTGTTTTAATTTCTGAGACAGGGGAAGAGAAAGGAGTAACAGTTGAGGAAAAGGCTATGATTCTTTCCATACTTAGCTTATTTTTCAACAGTGGCTTAAGAGATTATTTTAACCCATTCTCAGCTGACTCCCACAGAGCTATAGGAGATTATTATGAAACTCCTTCTGACTTTCCTTTAGCAGGTTTCATGAGAAGAATGCAGAATACAAAGCAATGTTTGTACTGAAATGTCTTATGGGTAAGTCAATACATCTGCTTTCTGATACTTCAAAGTTCTTTACTCTCTGATGTGCTCTTCAAAAGTAAATACCGGGAGGAGAAGGTTTAGTTCCCCAAAAATGGTTGTTCTAGAGATGTATGAAATCCACATCATCCCCACTTTGGCATTTTCATTTCCCCTTTCTCTAAACAGCAGCATTTGTGTAGCTGAGAGTTTTCTTCCTCAGTGACTAAATCCATGAGATTGTACTTCTTTCCCCTGAAAGGAAAGGGAAAGACTTCTATCAGTAGTGACTTTCACCTTTTCCCTGGTGTCTCTCCTAGTACATAGGAAGAAGTGAAAAAAATTCTTTTGCAATTCATAGCAGTCAATCCAAAGTGGGGCTGAGCTGAAAAGACCAGGGCACAAAGCACTGTTGAAACAGTTCTTCCCCATAGGCCCTCCAGCAGTTTTTCCTTTGGTTGCAATAATGGAGGGAACCCAGCAAGGCATTTTTGTCCTATGTAAATCAATTCTTCCCTATGTCACATCAGAAAAAGCCATAAAATCAATAAAAATGTAATGAGCTTATTATTTTGAGGGGAAAAATCAGTGGGTTCCAGAAGGTCTGGGGCATTGTTTTAAAGTAAACTACTGGAAAATTAGGTCAAACTGAGGTTTATTAAAAGTAAGTTTATTAAAACTAAAAATTAACATGACAATGACTTCTGCAGCAGACAAATGTTAATAATGAAAAAAGTGAGGAATTCAGGCTGGTAATAGACTGCCAGAAAGAAACACACTGTTCAAAATCCACAGTGTTTTTATGTAAATGAAATCATAGTCATCAGAGATGGAAAAGAGCAGTTACAGTCTCTCCCTTCACCTACCACAACAGGATATTGTCTCCCAGCAGAGGACAATATTAAACTGATAATATATACAGCTAGCAATAAGGAGAAAGAAGAGAGAAAACTTCTTCAAACAGGGAGCATGTTCAAAGATATTCCTCAAGTCTAAGGAGTTCTATTGCAACTTATTTCTGAGTCTTTTAAAATATTTAAGAGCATGAAACATGCAATTCTTTCTTTGTCATGAAGGCCATTGACACTACTGAAAGATGGGAAGAAACATTAGCAAGTGCTGCCTGTTTCATATGGGTCACAAAAGACTGAATCTGTCAAGAAAATAGGTCTAACTCACATGTGCTGTTTGATGTGCTAACAAGGAGTATATAATATGTGTCACTAATAGCTAGATCCTATGCTTCAGTCATGATTTTGTTCCAAGCAGTATTCTTCAAAACTGCATTCTGCTCTCTTCTACATTCCTTTCCACTTTTAGAGGGTATAAAAAGAATACTTCCATGGCTAGAAGAGCTTTACGAATCCACAGCATGTTGTTCTCTGTATCCTTCAACTCCAACATGTATTAGAGATTAGTTTGTATCTATAAAAAGAACTACAGCTGTTCACGCTCATCTACTTACAAGAGACTTGTAAAGCATATATTAATTAGGGAGAAATTGTTTGTGAGCACTTCAAAACCCTTGTGTGTACTCTCTGTGTAACTAACAGCTTTGCCTTCCTTCACCTCTGCTATGTCTATAAAAATCATACAGGGGAAAGCCTACAAAATTCATCTCATCTGAATATCTCTACAAGTGGTTCCACACTGTAACCCCTGTGGCATTTGGAATAAATCATTATTAGTTCATATTTCATCTCATCCTCGCAGATTTATTTGTGTCCTGTATCCTCCACTTGGCAGCCATTCTCTTGGTTTTGCTGTCTCTTTACACCCTTCAACACAGATGACTGATTGGATTAAAATAATTTAGGACTGAGATGATTCACGTTTCATTTAAAGTCAACTGTACAGGCTGTTCTGCAGAGACCGCCTGTAGTTTGCCATGCACTTGGACATGTTCCAGTGACTTGGAGTGTGACAGGACTAGGGCAAATCTGAGACACTTCCCTGTGGCCTCTTGTACTCCAGCAGCTGTTCACAGAGCAGGCTGCTGGCAAAAGTAATGGCAAGCAGTGCTGGGAGTTAACACAAAAGCTCTGCCCCTTCATGGGGACACAAACTCAGGCTCGGGTCACCAGTGAAACTGTTTGGTCTGATCATTCAAGCAATTCTGCAAAACTGCTGAGCAATTGGTCACTAGTGCTGGACCTGCAAAGGACAGGCCAAGAGCCACTGTAATGAACGGCTGCTGCAAGCCAAGACTGAAGGAGTGCATAAAGCAGCAGCCACACGTTGCCAATCTTTCCAATTTTCACATACAACCAGGGTTTTACTCCATGTGTTTTCCAACTTACGATCACATTCCATGCTTTTGGAAACATTTTTACACCCACCACTGAACCAAAAAGTGTCAACATAGAATATGACATTGAGTATTGACATTTCACACATTCTCAAGTAAGACAAGATAGCAAACAGTTTTTTCCTTGAAGTCATGTGCAAAGCCCACAGCAAGCTTGACATTCAGAAGTAAACCAAGATACCCCCAAAGCTTTTTTGGGTGTTTCTAGAGCTTTAGGGTGTAACATGGGTAAGTCACCTTTCCCACGTGTGCCCATTTTCCTCAGGGTGCTTGGTGCCATTTTTTCCTGAGGCCTTCCCAAGAAGTCCCCTCATCCCCTGATACCTCAGTGAAAGGTGCTGCTGTCCCAGTAACTCTGACAGGGCACCTCTGCTGCTGAAACCACTGCTGAGAGAGGGCCCTTATCTGCAACACAGTGTTAGTGTCAAACAATGGTATTTCAGTGGCTGGTAACAAGTATCTCTGTTTGTAGCCTTGGAGTTGCTAATGTCATAGGAATGTTATGAGTAGGTTTATATAAAAGTCTTAAAACAAGTAAATAAATTCTTATTCGTGTCATTCCGAACAACTTCAGACATGAGCCACAATCCTGTACACTAAATGATTATTGTCCTCCCTAACCCCCTCGAATTTGTAACCTAAATGCTCATTTTCAAACTTATGCAAACTTCACAGTTGACAAGATTTACAAGATGTCCTGTTTACTTCCCTTCTATGGAGAACAGACTGAGCAGATCATCAGTGTAAGCTTAATTAAAAGCAGAAAAGTTTCTCCACAGCAAATCCAGCTTAACAGTCTGATACAAACCAGATATAACTTTTTGTTTTGTTTTGTAGGAAAACACTTATTCTAGTTACAGCAGTTCTGAGAGGAGCAGGGCTCTTCTGGACACACAGCATAGGAATTCTGTATACCCAGCTTGCAGAGCAAAGAAAATGCTGCAAGAGTCACATCAGTGTAGGAAAATGCTCACTCACTGAATACAGAGATCACGTGATACTAGACTACAAAGACTCAACTCTTTTGGCAATGAAATTGGCTCTCAAAATTAACATTCACCTGAAACTGGGGGTAAATAGTAGGACTACCCCAGTGGCTGTGAAAAAATTGAATGGGATTCACCTTTTCAGAGTGAACTTTTTTTCCCTACCCTTCTGCTTAGGAGTTGTTTGGTTTGGTTTTGGGGAGATTTTTGTGGGGGTTTTTGGGGGAAGAGTTGGGTTGGATTGTTGTTTGGTTTGTTGTTTGGGGGTTTTTTGGGGGTTTTTTTTGGTGGTTTTTTTTTTGTTTTCTTTTCAAACTTAGACAAACACCTGTATTTATGTAGATTTAGTACCAAAGATATTTTCAGTCACTTTCAGGAAAATCTTAGCCATCCCTTGCCGTGCCAAGGAGACTTTATTGGGAGAACCCTTTGAAGAGCCACTTTCATTTGGCTTACTTACATCAGTCATAATCCACCAGATCTGACTCAGAAGCACAGCAAAAATGGCTTAAGTAGGTCTTCTGATGCTGCCTGTAACTTGGAAGATAGATAGAATGTGTAACTTGATTAGGCTTGATTCAAGCTTCAGGTATGGTGTAGAGCAGAGAGCTGCAGCTCTGGTTAAGCTGCGCCAGTGCACAGACATAACCTGAGAGTAAAGCTCATCGTGCACATAAAAAATAAACATGACACCTATGGAAATAACTTGCTAAGGGGAATTTTTGTGGGGCATGTTTTACCCACAATGTAAAAGCAAAGCCATTGCTCATTTCCCTCAACATTTACACTTCCACAAGTGTACAAGAAGATGGTTTGGAAAGAGACACAAAAATCTGAGACTACATCATTGTATAGCACACAGTTTCCCATGTAAAGTTCTGTAGAGAAACATTTCCTGAATAGGCTGTGGGACACTTATGGGGATCCAGACAATTGCTACAATGTTTTCATTGACTGGAAAAATAAAAAGAAAAATCTATACCC